TTCAAAAGAAAGAAAATAACTGCATTTAATCTACTCCAACTGCTTCTATTCATGGTTGCTCCAAGCCTCCACGGTGCGGCGAGGCTCACGGCGTGACATGATCGAGGCAGCGCAGCGTGGTGGAGCTCCGCGGCGTGGCGTTTGAATCATCCGTAGCCTTTGTTGGTCCATGGCACACTTCGCGAGTTGCTCCGCGGCGTGACGGGCTGGGCAGTCCACGACGTGGCGTGCTCCGCGGCGTGGTAGTCATGGACGACCAAGTCTCTGTATACTCGTGGAGGTTCTCGCGGCGTGGTGGATCCAACAGCGTGGCAAGAGGCGCGACAATCTGCTGCATATTCATGAAAGTTGCACCTGCATCCACCTCAGTCCTAGTCTTCTTGAGATGAGCTCGTCGAGCCCGATTGTCTGCATTTTAAGGTTAGGACCCTCGTTCGCATCAGATGCTTGGTTATAAAAGTTTTTGGATTTGATTTGATTTTTTTTTGTTTGGTTGGTTAATTTTGAAAAATGTGATATGATTAGTTGGTATATTATAATCGATTTAATGTAAAAGTAAGAAAATAGTGATTTAAAGTGATTGTTAGTTAAAATTATGTGAGCGGATGAACAATAAATTAGAATTGATATGGTGTATAATAATAACTAATTGATATTATTTAAATATATTGATAATATTGGGTTAAGTTAAAAAAATAATTAAGTTAAAAATATTTAATTTTTCTTTTTAAAAAAAAATTGTATCCAAGCATCCTCGAATCTCTATTCACTGTATCTACTTTTATTCCCATCCCGTTCATGTACTTATTTTTTTTCTTCAAAAAGGGTAAACAAATTTCACTAAATGACGATATAATATACTAATTCTCTCTCAAAATGTGGATATATTATCAATTTAGAACAATCAGGTTGCGCCACGTGGACCATCCCAGGCCCGGCAATGTGCGCTGGCGTTCTCCGACCCGGAGCACGTGCCGTGCCCATCCATCTCACGTGCACCAACCCTCACTCAAAATTTGAAATCCCTATTGAATTCAATTTCTATAAAAGTTCGCTCTCATAGGCCATAAAGAACTGTTCTATTTAATTCGCCACACAGAGGAAACAAAAGGAATCATTGGCGTTTGAAATCTTCTTTGCGCTCGACATACTTCCTATGCTTTGCGGCGGCCATGGCGGCAAAAGGGCTGGTCGTTTATCTTCTTACGGGCTTCTCCTTGGCCCTCCTCTCTGTTCATTTCGTCAACAATCGCGCGAATGGCGGTTACGATAAACCATTCATTCTGTCCTCGTCCGATTCGAAAGCTCCGGGGAACAAGTACGGGTCCGAATCGAAGTCCTGGCCCGTAAGTTCTTCGCATTTGAGAGAAAAATTTCTCCTTTTTTTATGTTCGAAAGTGTGTTAAAAAAAAAATCTGTGCTTTTTTCGTGTTTTTTTTGGGTTATAAGCTTTTGGGTTTTTGCCTAATTTTCATGGGCAGGAATTGGAATTCAGTTGGAGAATTGTTATGGCGACCGTCATAGGATTTTTGGGGTCGGCTTGCGGCACGGTGGGTGGGGTTGGCGGCGGTGGCATTTTTGTGCCCATGTTGACTCTGATTGTGGGCTTTGATACCAAGTCTGCTGCTGCTATTTCCAAGTGTAAGCACTTGCAGATGTTCTCTCTTTGACGTGTGAACTTAAAAATTAAATGGGTATGAATAATCTGTGCAGGTATGATAATGGGAGCCTCTGCTTCCTCTGTGTGGTACAACTTGAGGGTGCCCCATCCATGCAGGGACAAGCCGATTCTCGACTATGATCTGGCGCTCTTGTTCCAGCCGATGCTCATGCTGGGAATTACTCTCGGAGTTTCTCTTAGTGTGGTCTTCCCCTATTGGCTGATTACTGTCTTGATCATCATCTTGTTCTTGGGTAAGACGATTTGTTTTAGTCGTAATTTAGTCGTGACGGTGCGTGGATTTTAATCCGTAGGTGTTACATGTGGTTTTGATTGATCGAATACGACGTGTATGTCAAAGTGGTATCAAGATTCAATCTTTATGCAGTCTAATGTGTTCCCTTTTCTGGCTTTTTTTTTATTATGTTTATGTACTTTCCCTCCTTTGTCAATAGGCACTTCTTCAAGGTCATTTGCCAAGGCGATTGAGATGTGGAAGGAGGAAACTATGTTGAAAGTGAGTTGTCTAATTAGATGCTTATCAGGCACATGTAAAACTTTAAATTTGTTCATTCAAGTATAGACTAAGGACACAAATTTTGTACCAATGGGAGCCCACATAGCTTGAATTATTGACATGACAAAGAAATTGTCATAAATATATTGGTGGTATTTGGATCTAAAGAACAAAATGGCTGAAAAACATCATGTTGTACCTAACTCTTATATTATTTATTTTTCATTAATTAATTAAATTATTATTGTTATTTTTTTTCAATTTTTGTTTTTTTTTTTCCAATCATGTGTTGTGTGATTGCAGAAATCTATCGAAGACAAGAAAACATTCGTTAATTCTCGCGGAGAGTGTAAGTAAATTAGAGTTGAATATTGCAAGTGTTTACTTTCTTACATTTACAGCTTACAAGAATTGACCTTTGCATTTATCTCATTGCCTTATCAGTGCTGATTGATGCTGATTATGAGCTTTTGGTTCCAAGAGAGGAGAAAACACCATGGGTGAGATTATGTTTGGATACATTATTACAGCTCCATATCGAGTTCGTTTTCTTGAGGTCAATTATTAATCATCATTGCTCTCCGCATTTCAGCAAATTATGAGGGGAAACCTCAACATCAAGAGAATGTTAATGCTGCTTTTAGTATGGGTTTGCTTTTTGCTTCTTCAAGTGATGAAGGCGAGTTTAAATAACTCCACTCACCTTTCTAGAATCGTGGAACAGCGTATTTTTTACCTCTTATGCCTACCCTTAAAACTACGTTAATAATACCGTGGTATGGACGTTAACTTGCAGAATGACATGAGAGCTTGTAGTACATGGTACTGGGTTCTTACCTTATTACAGGTACATTATTATATCTTGAGATACATTCCTTTCATGTTCTCGAAGTATTTTAAACAAGTAGCCACCTTAATGTGTTTTTTTTTTTCCATGCTACATCAGCTTCCGGTTGCTTTTGGAGTGTTCTTGTACGAATGTGTTAAGCTGTACAAGGAAAACAAGAAAAGGCGGATCGATGGCAATCCGGAACTAATTTGTGAGGCGGCAATTGATTGGACAGGCACAAATCTCGCCTTTTGTGCCCTTTGTGGCATCATAGGGGGCACAGTTGGTGGCTTGTTGGGTTCGGGTGGCGGTTTTGTTCTTGGCCCCCTCTTGCTTGAATTTGGAGTAATCCCACAGGTAAAGGCCATTTTTCCCAGGCCGTTCGTTTATCACATTATTTTCTGTGGTCTCGATAATTACATGTTTGTTGGATAGTTTTTGAGAAACATTATCACAATTCTTATCGATGCTTTGAGATTACGTGGCGTAGTATATAATACTCGCATCAAGTTCGAATCATTTGTTGAAATGATTTTTTTTTTTTTTTTTGAATGTGTGTGGCTCATTTGAACTATGAAAAGAAGATTTTTTTCTTCGAGTAAATTATATCTTTTTCAGGTGGCAAGCGCGACAGCAACATTCGTGATGATGTTCTCATCATCCTTATCGGTTGTTGAGTTTTATCTCCTCAAGAGATTCCCCATGCCATACGGTATACCCTACGTATTCAATTCAGTGAAAGATACAAAATATCAGAAAAAAAAAATAAAAATGAAATGCATTATAATTATTCAATCTCAAACAAAATTACAAAACTAACTTTTGTTCGTATTTTAACTTTGTTTTTGGCAGCTTTGTACTTGATGGCTGTGTCAATATTGGCTGGCTTCTGGGGACAGTTTTTCATCAGAAAGATGATCACAATCCTAAAAAGAGCTTCACTCATTGTTTTCGTCTTGTCGGGCGTCATCTTCGCTAGCGCTCTCACAATGGGTAAAATTGCCAGCTCGTTAATATTATAACTCGTACATTGTTATCAAATTGAAATCTTCTTCTCCATATCCCGTTTTTGATTTGACAAACGCACTTTCGATTTTTGACTAATTGCCTCTCCTTTTTTATTTTTTTTCATTTATTGAATTGATAGGTGTTGTTGGAATAGAGAGGAGCATAAAGATGATAAACAACCATGAGTTCATGGGGTTCTTGGATTTTTGCAGCAGCCAATAATTGAAGCCATGTCATGATAAAAATTTGGACATAAGTATGATTTGATTTTGTTTTTGGGGGGCAAAAGAGGCGTGTCGGTCAACGCCTAGTTGACCGGCCCTTCGATGCATTTGTCGAAAATTATTAGTGTTTGTCGATATGTGGTGCAGAGTACGTTGGAGATAGGGCGTGTTTGGCCAATGCCTAATTGACCATACACCCAATTTCTAAGTATTTTGATTGATTTAAAAGTTGATGCATTTTTTGTGGGAGTGTTTGTGTAAGTGTGTGTGGTTGTGATTGTGTGTTTAGCTATCGCTAACGCTACAATCAGTTATATTCTATTCTGTTTGTATCATCTTTGTGTGGATGATATGAAATTGTTTGGCTGTGGCTTTTCTCATTTTATTTTATTTATTTACATAATTGATAAGTCTTTTTTTTTTTTAATGAATATATTTACCATGCATAGTAAAAATTACTTAATTTTTAAGAATTGGAAGTTTTTCTGGGCAAGAAGGCACAGTTGCTTTTTATTTAAAAAAAAAAAAATAAAATAATAACGACTTTAGATATTGCATATGTAGAGCTCTTAAATAAACCAGGTCGTTCGTGAGCTCGATTTGACTCGTTTGATCAATTAGTTGAACTGCGCATGTTTAACACTTATTTATTTAATAAGTCGGGCTTCACTCGGCTTGATAAGACTCAAAGGAGAAGTTTTTGTATAATTTTTTATTGCTCGACTAGTTAATGCCCCAATTGATAACTGATTGTGAAATGAGTTACTTATTCATTTTTTTTTTCCATAGAAGAAAATTTATTTTATTTTTAATAAATAAGTTAAACTTTGGTTATCCTTTCAATGTTTAGCTAGTGAGGACTCCTTTAACTGTCTGATCAAATACCATTGAGAAAACATAAGTTATTAATATTAACTCATTTAGAAATATGTACGCTAGTTATTTTTTCTTGATTTTACGAGATAGGAAGACAATTTCTTTTATTTTTTCTAACATATAGACACTAAAAGATTACTCTAAAATAATGCGAAGAAAAAAAAAGGGCATTACTATTTACCGCTCCCTTATTACTAGTCACCGCTGATGCAGACCCTAGTAAGATATTGTCCGCTTTGGGCTACTTCCGCCACCCGCACGGCTTTGTTCTTGGCTGGGCTTCAATACACACCACCAAAACGCGTCTTACTAGTGAAGGTACCCACATCCTCATATAAGGCCTGTTTTGTTTCCTTTCAAACCCGATGTGGGATGCGCTGCATCATCCACCCCCCTTGTGGGCCCAGCGGTCACCGCTAGCACATGGGCTGGCTCTGATACCAACTGATGCAGACCCTAGTAAGATATTGTCCGCTTTGAGCTACTTCCGCCACCCGCACGGCTTTCTGGGCTTCAATACACACCCACCAAAACGCGTCTTACTAGTGAAGGTATCCACATCCTCATATAAGGCCTGCTTCGTTTCCTTTCAAACCCGATGTGGGATGCGCTGCATCAACCGCCCTCCTTGGACGTTTTTGCCCTTCAGTACTCTCTCTCTCTACTTTTTTCCTCTCGACTTTCTACGGCTCTTTTGACCGTCAAAAAAATTTTGAAAAAATGCCAAAAATATACCATGACATCGGCAAGACATGAAGATTGACCATGTTTTTTTTATATATTTTTTTTACTTTATAAATAATTTTTAATTTTTTTTTTTAAAAAAAATATTTATAAAGTAATATTTTTTTGGCATGGTATTTTTTAAAAAATATAAAATAAAAAATTATTTATAAAGTAAAAAAATATAAAAAAAAATTTAAAAAAAATAAAAAATTATTTATAAAATAAAAAAATATAAAAAAATACATGGCCAATTTTCAATGTCTTGCCGATGTCATGGTATTTTTTTGACATTTTTTCAAAATTTTTTAACGGTCAAAAGAGCCGTAGAAAGTCGAGAGGAAAAGAGTAGAGAGAGTAGAGAGAGAGAGAGTGAAGGGCAAAAACGTAATTGAGGGGACGATGAGTAGTAAAAAGGGGGTGGTAAATAGAAATTCACAAAAAATATAGAATAATTGTGTTGTCCCAATATAGGATAACTGTGTACTAATGTAAAGTTTTTTTTT